TAAAACCTTGTGTAACCACTTTATTTTTCATGTAACAACTTGTTTAGAGAGTATCTTGCAACTAATAAACCAATATTAATAGCCAAATATTGGTTTTGCATCATGTCATTATAAGTTGAAACTTTGGATTTCAAGCTTTTGGACCTCAACTTCCTCTCTTCGAAACTCCTATCTCACAAAGGCTATGAAGAAGTTCTTGTATTTTTTGGAATTCCCTAAACATGCTCTATAACTTTCATGTTTTTGAATTTGTTGAATCCCAAAGGATCATGGTGAAAAATGTCTTTGTAGTTGGCTGAAAATTGTAACAACAAAGCATTCTTGAAAATTTCTAAGTGTTTTTGAAATTCTTCCAATCTTTGAAGCTTCATAACTCAAAATATAAACATAGTTTACCCACAGGTCACGAAAACATTTTTAGTTCATGAGGAGATCTACACATTGATCTTTGTAACTTATCAAATGGATCTGTGGATTGGAAGTTATGGCCTTTCAAGGTTGGCACCAAAACTAGGGTTTTTCCACACTTAGAAAAAAATCCAAGTTTTCTTCTTTTGCAAGAAACCTCTCAAATATTGATTCTTTCATGATCAAACTCATTTATTGAACATATTTTGATGAAATTTGGCTTGGATGCTCCAATTTGAACCAAAAATCTTAAAAGTCAAAGAGTTGACTCTGTCAGATGAATTTTGAACAAATGAACTCAATTGTGTGATCTTCAATGAATTTGCATCTTTGAATCTTTCCAATAATCTTGTTTAGGTTCCAAGTATGTGGATGAACATATTGAATCATGTCTCAAAGCTTGGCATCATGTTTGAACCAAAAGTCAAAGGCATAGTTGACTTTTCTAATGAAAACCCTAATTTGGGGCGAGATGAAATTGGACTTTAATTGACTTGTAGTAAGACCAATTTGCACTTGATTCTTGTTGAATATGAGTTCTCGATAGTGTGGAAACTTGATTTGATGGTGATCAATACAAAACATTGACTGATCAAGCAATAATTCTCTTGATTCCATGGGTGTAAAAACCCTAATCCAAATGAGCTTCAACAACAACAAACTTGAAACAAAGTTAGTGTTAGGAAACAATGTTTGATGCTCCTACATGGAAATGAAATCTAAGGGGTCAAAATTTAGGGTATGACATGTTCAAATGAAACCCTAAAGTTATTGATCTCAGTGTTAAGGATTCACGTTTGAAGTAATCACCCTTTTAATCAAGAGGGTCAAATAAGTCAAGCTAATGACCTTAAAGAAGCACTATGTGGGAGGCAACCCACGGAGTTGTGTGTTTTATTTTTTTTATGTGTTTATTTTTTATAAGAATAAAAATAAAGTTTCAAAAAATGATTTCATTCACCACCACCTCCTACTAGAATATATGTGTCAACAAATGCTAATCAGAAGTGTCTTTCTACGGGATAAAGCCTAGGAGCGGAGCCACAAAGTCAAACCATTTTCCATTGCCTCTGCTATAAAACATATAGATCTTTATCTCTCCATTTTCTTTTACTATTTTTATTGGGTAAAATGTATAATTTAAGTATAAGAGCTTTCATGCTTTCATTTTGTGTGCTTTTATGGGTGTTGAGTCGATGTGAAAAACACCACCCAAATACTTGAATCATGAAGAAAATAAATTTTTGGAGGGTCTTGATTGTATATGTAGAGAAAGTATATCAAGTTTATGGAAAGAGAAGCTTAAGTTATGGACTATACAAAAGTTTGATAAATCGTTCTTGTCCTAACACCTAGAGCCCCCCGATTAAATGTCAATTTAACTTGATTTTACTTGTGGTCTTTATAATATGTGAGTATTTTCTTAGTAATTTTCATAATTAGGCCTAACACTATTATATTTTATGCACACTATGTATTTCTTGGTTGAGGAAGAACGAAAAATATGAAGAAAAGAATGGACAGTAAAAGGAAATTGCACCTACTAAGTCGGATAATCCTCACCCGATTATTCATCCCAATGGTGGATGATCCCCAATGCCACACAAAAAACAAAAAAAATTGTGAAAATGTTCATATGTGTCTACAAAATAAAGAATGTCTATTTGATTTTTTTTTAGTTAGTTTAAACTTTTTTAATGTTCAATTTTACTCGCGTTTTGCATTTTCTCCATGTTTCACATAACGAGGATCGACCGAGGCAAAAGAGAACCAAAAAAGGAAAGAGTGTTCATCAAATAATGAAAGGAATGGTCTCTTGTAAAGAAGCAAAACCCATTGCGGCCTGACTGTAATGGGGACACCTCCTCCCAAATCCTTGTTGCCTCCATATAAAAATCCTGGGAGCATTATGACCTGCCCGTAATGGTCATTACTGACTATAACGACTTAGTAGACAGCCTCAAATTCATTTTTCTTACAATTTTTTTATCTAATATTTTACATTCCATCTGTTATTTTTCAATTGTAAAACCTCATGAAGGCTATTTACAAGAATTGATGAATGTAATTATGTGTTTATGCCTATAAATAGCTAAAGTAACAAGAGAAAATACACCACTTTTACTAGAATTCATCTTTTACATTGTTATTATTTTTGTGTTCTTGTATTTTGCTTTTGAAGCTTTGTTGTTGTATTGTTAAAGACTCCTCAAAGCATTTTATTTAATTTAAGCTTTTTCTTTCTGAATTATTCAATTTCTAAAATTTCTTCTTATTGTTGTTGTTATAATGTATGTATATTATATTTTTGCTGCTTTATTGTTAGCCATGTCTAAGTAATTTATTTTAGAGTCTGAGACATGAGGATTGTTGTACCGACAGACCTTGTGCAATTTATCTAAGTATCAATTAAAACGAGAATATTATTTTGTTTGATAATTTATGTTTTAAAGAAAAACGTTCACTATGAAAGTACGAACAAAGAGACACCGTTTATGTGCCTAAAAGGTATAAACAACGTCTGGCTTAGAAATTCGGACAGTTTCTTATGAGATTATGAAAGTGTTTTTAAGCCAACTGAGAAACTACTTTTCTTTTATAAAGGATCTCTAAACTTACAAATTATGTTGTGAAAGTAGATGAATTATGAGTTTAGAGTCAAGTAATACGCTGAAGAAAGTAGGAATTACCATTAGCTTTAGTATTTTTTACAAAAATTGAAATTCTTTTTATAATCAATATGACAACTTGCATGAGTGAAGTTGGGGGACAAGAATCAAAGTCTTGGGCTGTTGTTTTTAGTATTAATTAAATCAATATTATTTACTTTTTCGCACAAACAAATTAATATAGTTTAGATAAACATCAACACGATAAAAAAATGGTACTCAAATTCTGGTCTTTGAGGATGATCTCTTTTTATGTGATGATGGAGGGCTAAAACCCAAAAAGAAGATTACAAAATAATGTTCGTCATAGATAGGGAACTTGACAAATCCTCTATGAAGTTCTCATACACTTCACTAGGACACAACTCGTATAAAATGTAATTATTTTACAGGTTAACCTCGAGTTTGATATTGTCATACACTTGCGGCGTATCAAAGAGGTAGCAGTCAGATGCATAATTTTTACAGATAATATAATCCTACTTGAAGAGTTGAATGAGGATTTAAATGAGAAGTTTGAAACCTGAAGACAGACTTTAGAAACAAATGGCTTTCGCCTAAGTAGAAGTAAGATGGAGTATATAAAATCAACACGAGAATAAAGTTAGTGTAACATAGATGAGGATGTTGTGTTAGATGTATAGTAAGACTAGACAATATAAGATAAGAAATGACAATATAAAAGAGAGTGTTGGGGTAGAACCTATAGTAAAAAAGATGGTGCAAAATATACTTAGGTGGTTTGGGCATGTAGAGAGAAGATATGTAGATTTTACAATAAGAAGAGTATATAAGATGGAAACAACTAGAGATATGGAAAGACCTAGAAAAACTATAGAAGAAATTATTAATAAAGATCTTGACTTTAACGATTTTGATAAAAATATAATTCTGAATAGAACATTATAACAGAAGTTAATCCATGTAATCAAATTCACATTGTGGGATAAGCTTGTTGTTTTTGTTGTTTTAAAAATTATCCTTAAAATAAAAAACAAGTTTGAAAATGTTCTAGTCTGAACTTTTAAATATGAACTATATCATAATATTTTATCTTAAATATATTTAAATTTGGATCTTAATTTATAATTTTTGAAAAATATATAGACATAATTCTTAACTCAAGAAAACAACTAGTGTATCAAAATGCTTCACTATAACCAAATACTGCACACAAACAAAACAAAACAAAAAAGGCCTCCATTTATACTATATGTTAAGCCTCAACTAGTAACCAATAAGGACTAGTTAGAAGATTATTTCCTATGGGTTGAATCCGTTGCCTAATTAAGGATTTGAATTAGTTGAGCTATAGAATAAAGGAGTTGAAGGCTTAAATTCAAATCCTGAAAAATATTTAAATAATACTAAAAGTTAACTACTTGTGGTTAAAAAAAAGTTAAAACTTGTTAAAAACTTATTTAAGTTGTCTCATTTAAATATACTTACTTGCATAAATTTTCAAGAATGTTTGAAGTAACTTGTGAAAACAATTTGTCAGTGTTAAAAATTTGCTTTTCATTTGTTTTCATAAAACTTTCAAAATAATTGATACTAATCTATAAGGAAATAATCTAACTTTATTTTATAGTTTATATAAAATTGCATATAGTACTATTTTTCTTCCATAATCTAAAGTTTAAAAGCAAAAGCTTCTGCATTGATCACATTAACACGTCCAAGAGATGTATTCAATACAATTTTCAAGCAACGGAACTCAATAGAAATAAATTTGTAAATGCTTACAAATACAATCTTGATAAATTTATAACCCTAATAAGTCTGGAAAAGAGTTATAAACTTTTATTTTTAGGAGACATTAAATAGTTGGAAGATGATCAGAAACATCGGATCTTCATCCAACAATTCTGATAGACTAACTGCAATGAATTTCCAAGCTCCGTGCCCAAGGAGGAACCATAGTTAGTGTGTCTGCGGAAACATATGTTGCGGGAAATAGTTGGACTCGGGTTGAATCTCTTTGTAGTCTTCCACTGCATGGTGTTGCAAATGCCAGTCTCTTTCGGAGACATATTGCCTAGCCATGATCGCTGCTCGGTTTTCTGCTATCAATTCGCTTAATGCGGCACTGCATCTTACGGAGAGATCATCGGGAGAAAGCCATGAATCAGTCCTAGATGACAGAAGAGAGAGAGCACATCCACCTGATGACAAGTAAAAGTACACCCAACAACTATCAACATATTGTATGTCATGACAAAAAAATTACATGTCGAGTTTTATTAGTTTACTTTGTGATGAACTCCTTGAAACAGAATCATGGGAGCTCTTTCTTCTTCTCTCATTGTGCCCGGCAAGTCTTCTCCTACAACTTCTCTTTGAATCATCAAACTCCGACACAACATGGAACCTAAAAATCCGGTCACCACACCACCACATTTTCCATATCTTATTAGTTAAGCAATCAACAAATCCGAAAATCATAAATTAATAACTTAAAACCAAACAATAACTCGAGTGTGCCTAAAAAACTATACAAACATGATAAATTAATTTCCTGAGTCTGTATACGAAGTGCTAATAACAATTAAAAACTCTCCCACGCAAATATTATTACTAGAGTTCCAACCCGACGATGACATCCAACCTATCAATGTCGGTTTTGCCAGTTAAGCTTACGGACGAACCCCAAGCATAATTACAAATGGACAATTAAAGGGTACTTTCTTTTTAAGATGGTAGTCTTAATTTTCTTTAATTTCTTTATTCTCTCCACTTTTGTCTTTTAAAACATTACGACTCCAACCAACCCAAACACAATTGCAGTGTTTAAAGATGGTAAAATATGTACTGCCTCCAGCACCAAAGGTAAATTACATGTACTTTTTTTGCAGGCTTAGAGAGGACATGAAATGATGAAAATGAAAATAATAATTCAAAAACACAATTTCTTTTAGATTTTAAGGTTGATAGATGAATCAATGATTTACACACTTAAAAAAAAATGTAATTTTTAGCCTTAAAAGTGGTGATTTACTGCCCTAATTTTATATCCGAAGAGAATTTATCACTTTTGTGCCAAAACTCACCCTTCTCTAAACAAAATTTTGAGATTTGACCTAAAATTCAAACAATTGTTTGTATGTAGAAGATCCAAAATTCAATTTAAAATTAACAGACTAAAACTATATTGATCACTCTAATAACTATTTACTTTTGTTTATTTTTCATCAAGTAGTCTGCTTTTATTTACCAAAAAAACCTATATATATGGATCCAAATCTATATAGTTAATTTGATTTGCGGTATTTTAATACAAGTCTTCTGATTAAATTTTCAAACAAATTAAATGGTTAATGTATTTAAAAATATTTAGTTAGTCATGTTTACACGGCTAAAAAATATAAAATAAATAAGCTGCAACTCTAATAATTATTTAAACGTAATTAACTACAATTTTAAAAGAAGTAAAACACTTCCAAGTGTTGAAATGTATTTATTAATAGCTGCTATGATCAAAATTTTATCGTTTCTATTTGTATGTTAGGTTTTGATCAAAATTTTGTTGATAAGTATTTAAGATAACGACAGAGTAAACCACTGACCTGCTACACTGCTGACAGAATCTCTGCTCCAAACCCATCACCACAACTTTTGGTGCCTTTGAATGCATCTCACAAACCTTATGTCTCCTATGATACTCCTTCGCGTTCATCAATCCCACGTGGCACCCATCCACCTGACATCTCGCCACCGAACTCCCCACCGCCAAACCCGTCGCCGCCTTGCCACCACCGCCACCACAGTACCCTTTCCCTCTCTTATCCACGAATCCTCCACCACCGCCTCCACCACTGACATCCTCAAAATAATGCCTCTTCCCCAACTTCAAACACGTGAGATGCGGGTCCGGCATCACGTGAGCCCTAGCCAAACCTCCACCAAACGCCTCCGCGTAGTTTCCCCGATCCTGCCGTACGCCGCCTTCGTTTGCATGTTGATGAAGCATCACCGCGTTGGCTAAACCGGGGTTGACGGCAACGTTGAAAGTATTGTTGTTCCATGCACTGTTGTTACTAGTGGTAGTACTATTAATACTACCCCAAGTGAAACCGTTACTGTTACTACTGTTACTGTTACCGTTGGTGTTATTATTTTGGTCTCTGTTGTTGAGACAGAACATGTTCCCTCCAAAATCCATCTTTTATTTTCTCTCTCTACTGTTTCTCACTACTTTCTAGATACGGAAGAGAAAAAATGAAGAGAACTGGGTTGGTTGAGGAATGATGAAAGGCTAAAACGTTTGGATGTTATAACAGAAGTAGAATGGAGGAAAGAGCATGTAAGTAAGAGAGATCTTCAATTTCTTTTTTGTTTGTATAAAAGTAGAAAAGAGAGTTCAATGGAGGGTTTTAAAGTACTGTTGTTATCAAGGTAAAGCTGTAAAGGCTACTACTATTCTTGGTTGCTTCAGAGAGAGAGAAGGTTGAATGGTGAGAAAACTACACGTAAGTTAAAAGAGGTAATAATTGTATCAAAGTAAAAGTATGAGAGAAGAAAGATGTGACAAGACACTAGTGGATCATATCAGAGGAACCTCTCCCGCAGCTATATTATGACTCTCAGCTGACTCTGCACTCCTCAAGTGTACATTGTTTTACTACAAGACAAATATTATTATGTGATTAGGAGAAATATATAACTTCCTTAACACTTGTAACTTATTGTTAGAGTTAGTTAAGTATTTTGATTTCTATTTGACTTGAGTTTCTACGAGTTTCTTAAGTCACTTTTTTAACCAATGTATAGAAAGGTTACAAAAATCGGATCAAATAAGACGGTTCGATCTTTCTGTTGACTGTAGCTTTAAAATTTGTAATATTAGATTTTTAACTCAATTAATAAAGTTTAATTTAAACATATTGTCTCAATTGAATATATATGATTAATTGACGTAATGCTTATTTAGCATCTTCATTTTTCATCTTTATTGTATTTGCTAATTTAAGTGTAAATCATGAAAACAATCCAAACACATCATTTGAAAAATTACCGTCAACTTTATTTAAAACTCTAATTTTGAAAAAAATACTTTTAATTAGTTTTTGGAAAAAATATATATTCAACTCTTCCCCGTCTTTTAGACCATTTTACACACATATTTTATCTAATAATTGGCCTTAGAACTTAGAGGTATATATGAGTTGGATTAATTTACAAAATTGCTTGAACTTTTTAAAAAAAATCCAAAAAATTGGATTGGATCTGATAATTGGATAGATGAGTTAAAAATTAAAAAATCCATTAAAAAGTCGAGTTTCGGGTCAAACCCAATCTAAATTTAAAAAATTCACCGACCCACTAATCAAACATTTTTTATTACAATTTTAATAATTTTAATGAATATTAATATTGTTGTTGTAATTTTAGTGAACCATGACTTTAACAAATTTTGAATGTTTCACTTTTTGCTTATTTTGATGCTAATACAATTTTATATCATGCAATTTTAATTGATGTTATCATTTATTATTTTATGATGCTAAAAAATAATAAAAATAAGTTATCTAATTTATTTGGAAAAAATAAAATATTGAGTAATTTTTAGAAACAAAATATGATAACTCATCATTTATTCATTTATTAATATTAATAAAATAGAAAAATTATTTGGGCAACCCACTATCCAACTCAACCCAGTCTGAAAATTTATGGATTTGCCCAAACCGATCCATTGGTATAATTGATGGTTATTTTACGTCACCCAAACCGGAGTATCCTAAATAAATTGGGTATTGGGTTTGGTCAAACCCAACCCAAACCAGTCCACGTGCACCCCTATTAGAGCTGGTTTTTTATTAGGTTTTGCGACTTTAAAAGTTAAAGTATCATTAAGGACGGTTTGAATGGTGTGTATAATAGAGTTCTCATATTCAAGGGCGAAAACTATGTGTATTGATAACATATATGTTCACTTAATATCAGTTGATAAAATGCTTTAGGTTGTTATCAATGAAAGCCTTTTTGTCCCAAAAAAAAACATCATTGATGGTATTACTATAAAATCTCCAAAGAATTTGGATGATGAAGAAACTAAGAAACCTTTGTATGATTTGAAAGCGAGGAATATATTAATTTTTGCCTTGAGCGCTAATGTATTTTATTCGATTTTGCATTATAATACAGCTCAAACAATGTGCAGCACACTACAAATACTCAATATAAGTGTCAAAGATTCGAAGTAATTTAAGATTAACACGTTGGCAGAAGAAAATAAGATTTTTCGTAACAAACATGGTGAAACTATAGAATCTATAGAGAAGCACTTTATTCACATAATCAACAAGTTCGAAAATACAGAAAAGACTTTATCTAACCAAGATTGTGCTAAGAAAGTGTTAATGTATATGTGTGGGGGAATGACAATCTAAAGTAACAGCCATAAAAGAGTCGCTTGACTTGAAAATGTTCGATGTATCTGTTAGACGATGGCACATATCTAGAAGGGGGGTTGAATAGATCGCTTGCTTAAAAGAGTTGGCGCTACCAATAAAAATGGTTTTTAAGATTTGTTTAATTGCGGAAGCGGCCGAGGAACTATACACGTCTAAAACGAACGATTACTAGAAAACCGGATATGTGTTAAGCCTATGAAATTCGATAACGAGATATGAGAATCACTATGTTAATCACACTATCAATTTGATTCAACTCACTATATGGTGTGACTAGTTCCAATGCCTTAAAAATATTAACACTATGAAAAGACAGCACACAAGGCTTTTATTTCAGACAATTTATCAAACACTTGGAGTGCAGAGCACTAAAGTGGGTTCTGTTTTGAGAGTGAATTGCTTAAGTTTCCTCTTACAATCAATGATTGTACTAGGTTCAAAAATTAGTTTAGCACTACTCAAACCAGACCTAGATTGATATAATCGTTTGCACTAAAAACACAAATATCAAGCAATATAATCGAAACGAAAAAGACACACGATTTGTTGAGGAAGTTCCCCCGTCGTCCTCGCTCGGGGTACGTCTGCCCTCAATTCTAATAACAGAATTGAGACATGGTAATATATAGATATAACTTGTTGTTGAAAGTTTATACAAGAAGCGAATAACTATCAAATAAACGAACACTATTGTTGTTGTAGATCCTATCTCTTCTTGCCCCTTGATTCAAGTTGAATCATGTACTTCGACAGCTGTGAATAAACCTCCGATTGCGGAACTATCTTTGAACAACCTTCAGTCTTCAAAATTTAGCTCGGATGATTTCAATCACCCGCGTGTCGAACCCTAAACTCCCACTCACAATCCTCCGTTTACCGTTACTAATTCGACGGAACCTCCAGCTCCTCGATTACCTTCACTCGACTGAATATGTGATGAGACGAATCGTGCAAAAAACCCCAAATTCAGATAATCTTGGAGGACAAATCCCTAGCGGTTTTATTCAAGAAAAACCTGTCAATTCCTTAACCCGAACCGGATAACCCAATCTTCGGCTTCGAACGTTATCACCTCCAACAATGCACAATGCACAACAAAGATGATTATGTGTAATTGTTGTGAAATTGCTATGAAGAGAATGAAGATGATGAGAACCAAATCGACACCTATTTCACTTTTCTTGTTTTTCTCAATTGTTATGAAATGAAAGAGTAAATTGAACTTATATACCAAACATAACTGATATAACAAACAAAACCACTTCACAAAGATAATTAACATAACAGAAATTTGACATAAAACATCGAACGGTTGACCTATGTAGAAAAGGGGGTTGACTTGAGCTGACCCGAATGTAAAACTGTGCAGAAAATAGGACTATGCGTCGACCGAAGCTTTGCATGCGTCAATGAATAGCATTCGTTTTTAGCCAAATTAAAATGCTCACAGTATGAGTCGATCGGAGGGTCGACGCGAGCCCTCCCGAGACTAATACACAAAAATGACACATAGTGTGAGTCGACCGGAACAGGTCTTTGATCGACTCAAAGCCCTAAAACACTCAAAAATGCCTATTTTCATACTTAGTGATGCTTTTGATGATATCTATAATATAGCAACCAACACCAACTAAGTGAACCTTATGTGACACACATATTTGGCTATCTATATGCAACAAACGTGATTTTTACGAGCATTTGACTTATGAGAGACAAAACATGCAACTATGACAAGATGATAACGCCCAACATATATTCTTCTATGGAATGGAGTTTTGACATCATCGAAACGAGCACATCTGTATATGAGGCTTTGCCCTCACAGTATCTACATTGTTTAGAAAGCTTACTGAATATGAGTACGGGTTAAAGAGACTCAAAGTAAGCGAAGTTAACGCAAAAAAGAAAGAAAGTAGAAAAATGTGACAAGACACTAGTGGATCATATCACAGGAATGTCTCTCCATAACTATATTATGACTCTCATATGATTTTTCACTCCCCAAGTGTATATTGTTTTACTACAAGACAAATATTATCACTACTACAAATAACACATCTCACCTTGGACGCAAAATAGATTTTACCTCGATTACACTGCCGAAGTAACGAAGGACGACATGAAAACTTGTCACTTTACCCCTCGATTTTGGAAAAACTGAGTTTAAATAGAAAAGGTCATTAGTTTGATCCTTATTAACAACATATTTTTATTTTCAAAACTATGAAGCGCACGCCACTTTACCTCTCAGTTTTTATTTAAAATTTGAGGTAATAAGTTATGTTGCTACATCGGTTTTAATTAATAACTGAGATGTTAAATCTTATCTATTTCCATATATGATTTGTTTTAAATCTCACTTTGACGGGCCTGTACCATTTTTTACACTGAAACTACAAAATATTGACAGAACTAGAACCAAATCATTTTAAATGTATAAATTTATCTTGTTCTCATCAAATGTTGTTCTCATCAACACAAAATACAAAATTTACATTATTTTCAAAATAAAATATTCAAATTTTCATTGTTCTCATCAACACAGAATACAAAATTTACATACTTGTGAGAATGGTGATCTGTCGCTAAACTCCTATAATTAGAACAAAATTTAAATTATGATAAGCTAACAACAACAACAACATTAAATTAATAATAAATATAAATAAATTACATGTACATGGATTAAACTAATACCTTAAGCTTAGTTTATCTACTTGCAATGCCTCCAAAGACAAAATCAAAT